GACATTGAAATAGCAGCTAAAATTACACGACCATGAACAACCAGTAATAGCAACATGCAGGAAAATAAAAAGGTAAAAGATACAGGGTACGGTCGACTTGCTGCCATGTTCCAGATCATACCATCCAAACTTCCTTAGAAGCAAATCGTCCGAGAGGTTATATATGCATCGTCTATTGCGGCGAAGTCGCGCCAGCCTCCTGGCTCGTCTTCGTCGGTTTCGCGGGCTTCGTCTCCTTGCCGTTGGACAGTTCCAGTTTCTTAATCTCCCGCTCCAGCTGGTCCACGCCGTCTTTGCGGAACCGCGTCACCTTGCGCACGTTCAGGGTCGTCAATTCGTTGAGAGTGTCGAGGCCCTGGGCGCGTTGTCGGGCGACGGTGCGCGCCGTCATGGCGAAGCGGATATCCTTGGGGCCGTCGACCAACTCCAGGATGGCGCTGGGGGCCTGGTCGTCTTTCTTGGGCTCGACGCGGAGTACCCGGGTGTAGCCGCCGGGGCGTTGGGCGTAGCGTTCGCGGAGGGGGCCGAAGAGCTTTGGGAGCAGGTCATGGGGGGTCTATACACATACGCGTTAGTTTTGGTCTTGGTTCGTCTGGACTGGGATGCTGCGTGAGTTGGGAGGGGAAAGACGTACGTAGAAGTTGACAGGGCCTGTCTCCGACTCGCCTCGGTGTTCTTCTTGCCCAGGGTGATCAGCTTCTCGGCTAGGCGCTGGGCCTCCTTGGCCTTGGCCCATGTCGTCGTGATAGACTCGTGTTTGAAGAGGGAGGTAACGAGGTTGCGGAGGAGAGCCTGTCGATGCGACGACTTGCGGCTGAGATGGCGGTATTTCGTTGCACCACCGGCCATGGCGATGAGTTATTGTGGAGTGGGATGTGGAGGCGGGAGCTAGAGATCAATTGCACAGGAGGATTCGGGAGAAAGAGACCGGAGAGGTAGAAGTGTTGCAGAGGGACAATGCTTGATGGTCTGGAATGATAATGTTGGAGGTGGAAAGATTCGATGCCGGGCGGGAGCCAATCGGAGGGCTGCAATGGGGTCCGCCTTTGAATTCCATCCCGACAACAATTCCAATGCTTCTCGACTTCATCCCCTCCTACTTAGGTTCTTCTCTACATTCTTTTTTTTGTTAACCGCCTCGATCTGCAACAGATTTGATTGCGAGGGATCCCCATCTACGGTGCAACAGACGTAGACATAACAGGCCAACTCGATCAACGAGCCAACATGGGGTTCATCTCTGGATTTGTACGTGCGCCTATGGCACTATAACTCTGCGACGGCTACTCGGTACCAGGACTAACTGCGATGACAGTTCAGCGGCTTCGCTCTCACAACCTCCGTCCTGTACCTCTCCATCCAAGTACACCGGTCCAACCGCCTGGAACAACGCAACCTCATCCGCGAACAGACGCAGTTACTCAACTGGCTGGCCTCTCCGACAGGCGCATACGACCGGCGGTTGATTCCGATCGAAGTGCGCCAACCCGAAAAGAAGGACCCCGCCGAGCCACCCCGATACCCCATGAAAGACCTGCTGAAGCACCGCTGGAATGAAGAGGTGCAAACACTAGCCCGAAAGGCGGTTGAAACCCGGTGGGAGGATGTGCGGGATACCGCCGGTGAAAGTTGGAAAGTCCTTATGAGACTCGTGAAAAAGGAGTGAAAGCGCGTTTTTGTTTACGTATATGTCTGCATCGTTGGTGTTGTTTGCATTTGAGCCCAGCTCTGATACCCTCTGATTGTTATTACAGCGGCTAGTATTATACTATTGTCTGCCTTGCGTATGTTATTGGCCTCGTGAAGATCGTCTCTTCGTGTCGTCTTGAACCTACCCATTGCGACATAGTCTGGACAGATATCGTCGCGATGCACTCTGGGTTGCGTAGTGATAGGTAGGCAGGCTCCGCCAGTCGTTGGGAGTTATCCCGGCCACATCGGAGGCATCCATCGTCGCCAGTCATGTCCAATCACCGTGATTGGGAGTGAATATGGTGATCTCGTCCATCTGCATAGTTCCGCATTGATAAGACCGCCGCTCAACTGGCGCTCATGGATGTCTGAGTCGTGCTGCTCATACTGTCGCTATCGCTCCAGATATCCCTGCTTTCTCTCTCGACCGCACGCATCGCCTGCGCCACTTCCTCCAGTTTGGCGACGACATCCAACACCCCATTATTAACACGATCGAAATACCGGTCATTCGCCTCGCGGCGTTCGCGCGCAAGCAAAATATCTTTCTCTGTTTCCTCATCCAAGCTCTTCGAGGCGTCATCCGCGACAGCAGGTTCCGCCGTAGTCCCCGTCGCACGCGAGTTATTCCTTTGCTGGGCGGCGGCGGCGTTTTTCCCCGCCGGATCCACCACCTCATCGTCTGCTTCGCTCCGCGCCCACGCATACGCGAGCTTGAGCTGTTTCATGCGCAGGTCCTCGCGCGCCTCGGCGTGCTTTTCGCCGAATACGTGCTCGCTCGTCACAGCGCTCAGCTCCACTTCGGACAGGGCGTTCTGCATCTCCTGCCAGATCGCATCGGAGCGGTCGACCTCGCCCTTCGATTGGGTCCGCGACAGGAACGGTGATAGGGAGCCTGGGGCTTCCAGCGAGGTTCTCTGTCGGGGAGCGCGATGCTGCTGGAGCGGAGGCGCCTGCGTCCCGCTGGACGAGGGGACGGGCGGCCCAGGGGGGGAGAGAGAGAGATTGGATGCATTGTGGGAAGGAGGTCCTTGAAAGAGTGCCGGGGGCGGAAGCCGCTGGGAGGATACCTTCCTCAGCGACTCGACTTTATCCATGGCGAGGGAAATTATTGTCGCGACGACATTCACAAAGTAAAATGGTAGACGCCTACGTCTACATCGGATGATGTTGTTATCTTATCGTTATCGGCGAAGCGGAGGCAGGTTTGTCCGGGCCCCGGAGCGGGCTCGCTTAACTGCCGTTTAGGGTGTAGCGCGCACAGCGAACAATTTCGCCCTCGCCCCCTCGAGCTGACTTTAGCGAAGACCGCCGGCCGTGAAGGAACCCTTCGACCTTCGACTTTCGACAAACCATCCCCATCCAGGCCTGTTGGCGAATTTTCTTCAGTCGGTACGTATCAACTCCCCCGTTCGATTTTCCTCCGTCGCCTCTAGGGATTCCCGTTTTTCCCACCGCAATCCTGTGTCGTCCGGCCGTGATTTGGAAATCCGTATCGAAGAATCACACCAGCCCATCTATCCACAACCGTCACCACGCACATCTCTTCGGTCCCCCAAGAAATCAAAACAACCCTCTTCTAATACGCTCTTCCGTCTACAGTTCTCCGTCTTCGAACATAATCCGCCAAGATGGGTAAGGGACAGCCCCGTGGTCTGAACGCCGCGCGCAAGCTCGCGAACACTCGCCGTGAGAACCGGTGGGCCGATCTGCACTACAAGAAGCGCCTTCTCGGAACCGCCTACAAGTCCTCTCCCTTCGGTGGTGCTTCTCACGCCAAGGGCATCGTCCTCGAAAAGGTCGGTGTTGAGGCCAAGCAGCCCAACTCCGCCATTCGCAAGTGCGTTAAGGTCCAGCTGATCAAGAACGGCAAGAAGGTCGCCGCTTTCGGTGGGTTCCCTCTTTTTATACCCTTTACATGGAGGATCGAACGGGATGTTGGAGATGGACCCGGCATCGGGGGTTCAAGGATGACGATTCGGAAGACATTTCGTGCATGATACTGACTGAGTACAGTCCCCAACGACGGTTGCCTCAACTTCATCGACGAGAACGACGAAGTCCTCCTCGCCGGTTTCGGTCGTAAGGGCAAGGCCAAGGGTGATATTCCCGGTGTCCGTTTCAAGGTCGTCAAGGTCTCTGGTGTCTCTCTCCTTGCTCTGTGGAAGGAGAAGAAGGAGAAGCCCCGCTCGTAAAGGATTTCTGCCGAACGAAAAGAAACATGCAGCGGGATTGACGGGAAGGGGCCCATTCCATGGAAGACGGGAAGAAGATGCGACAATAGGATCTGCCTTCGGTCTGTGGTCTGGAAATTATGGTTCAGGACGGATGACCCTGCAAACACCTTGCAGCTACTACGATTGATATACTCATAAAAAGATGGCGCCATGATTGATTTCTTTGGGAAGGGCCCGAAATATCAAACCTTCAAAAACCTTGGTCTTTGCGTAGTAAGGTAGTAATGATTCGATGTATGGAGTACGAGTGATCTACAGTGGTCCACTTGAGTACTCCGTATCTACGTTTAGGAGTGATCTCCTGGTCCTCGGTACGTGTCACATTAGATACCAACATGTCTTCATGTATATGCATTATATCCTGGTGGGTATCGTTCTCTTTTTTTCTACCAGTTCCTATGCCTTTTCCATGATCTCTTTGGCCAGTTCCGAAATTCATTATACTCCTATGTCTCCCTTGCAACAGCTTAGAGGTTGATATCCTCCCTGCGGTAATGGTCTGAGACGATACGATAAAGATAAGACGGCGCATGGCCACCCCTATAAAAGAACTGTTAGCTCGCTAACTTGATACGATGGGTAAAGGGTTATGAACACGTACAGATTGGTGATGTAGAGATCGATCAACTCAGCCGGCACATAGTCATAGATGGGGTTCTGGACATCGATCTGGTCGACCAAGTCCCCATCCTCATACGGAATGACTTTGCTTGCGTCTCCGTATTCGATCAAGGAGTCAAAGTCAAACGGGTACACCGGACTGAGCTTGTATACACCGCTGACCACGACAACCGGAGTCTGGTGGACCTTGGCCGCACGAGCAATGACCCGAGTGCCGGCGGCCGCGACCAGACCGCCATTCGCGAGGACCGAGTGCGTGCCGAGAATGACCTTGTTCACGCGGGACATGAGCGCAAAGACAGCGGAATCCGGGATCAGGATGACCGTAATGCCTAGCTCGATCAAGGGCTTCTGGAAGGACTCGGTGCTCAGAATTTCGTCGTCCTTGGGCACCTGCCCGCTGACGGTGGCGTGTGTAGCCTCGTGGTTGTTGGGGTAGGACTCGGCATGGATTACAGTGAATTTCCGCTTGGCCGCGGCCTTGAGAAGGAACCTCTGGACGGTGGTCGACGACGTGTGGGTGAGAATGATTTCGTTCGAGTGAATGTGGTCAAGGGCGTAGGCCGCGATCTGGTCGTCGACCTGGCCCAGCTCGTCGATAATCTCACCAATGCCGTCAAGGACCTCAGCGCGGATGTCCTTGCTGGGGGGATGGCCGAGTCGTCCGGATGGCGACGCGGAGGCGGGCGTGCTGGGCAATGACGGGTCGGGCTCGGGGTGTGAAAGCAGACTGAACATGGAAATGGGAGCGGTCATGGACCGAGAACCTTCGTGACGGAAGTTCATAGCCTCCGCTGGGTCTAGACGTTCCACTCGTGTTAGTTTTCCGTCAATGATCGAAACTGGGGGGTAAGAGACGGACCATCAGCAGCACGCGGGGTCTGGGGCTGGCTTTCAGATGCCTCGCTCAGGTTGAAATCTGCCTCTCTGTCGTCTTCGGCTTCGTCTCGGATCAGACCCAGCACGCGTCTGACGATATTTCCAACCACCATCTCTTTCGGCTGTGCCGCAATCAGCCGTCTTCCCACGCTCTGAACTCGCTCAATCAGCTTGGCAGCATCGGTCGTTCTGCAGGCGGAGATGACACGGAGGAGAAGGTAGGCAGTCGCAGTTGCGCATGATCTAGAGTGACGGATCTGTCGGCGTTTCAGGAGTCTAGAAATCGATTAGTTCTGTCGAGCAGCCATGCGACAGACGGTGTGACAAGGGGCCATACGAGATCAGGTTGTCGATCGATGTGTCAATGGGGTTGGTCTTGAGGGATTTGAGAAAGGACGCCAGTCCTGGCGTCAAGGCCGTGGATGTCGAAGGCATTGCGATAGTCTGGCCTTGCCGGGGAAGTAAGTGAAAGGACTCGATAGCTGTGCGCGAGACGTTGAGTCACGGATAATTTTTGCCGGAGAGTGATGGTCGTTTTTCAACAGGTTGCGGGTGTCACAGTCGAGATAGAAAGACGACCCAGAGAGAAAACTCTCACTTTTCCAACACAGACCGGTGAAGGCGCAGGAAGAGGCCGATATATGCGGTGGTGGAAGTGGTGATGCGAAGGTGGGATTATTTGGTGGGATGTGACGGAGGGAGATTTTGCCCGCGTGGAACTGCCGCCGCTCGGCCCAACGACCGACAACAAGCACTCCTCCTGCTCCCCACACCTCGCCATCATCCTCGCTCGCGCTCCCGCGTCCTCAACACCTGCTGTCACCCCTAGAAAGCCTCCTCTTCTGCTCTTTTCTTATTACTTCTCCTTCTATTCTTTCTCTTTATCCGTTACGATCCCTTCCGTCCGATTTCTGGCCTTGCGAATCCGTTCTTTGTCCTCCCCAAGGGTTGGCGTTTACGGTCGTTCCGAAGCACGGGTTGTCGACTGGCGCATTGAGGTGCGGTTAAATTTCTCCCGGGGAGGGCTGATCGGATGAAATGACGTCCTTGATGCCCTTTCTGTCCATATCGCGTGGTTGACTTGCGTTGGGAATCGGCTGACTGACATGCGCATCCTCCTCAGATACCTGCGCCAGCCCGGACTCCCGTGGGCCCTGTGGGAAGATGAACTCGCTGAATATCCTGTCATCCCGAGTCATTGGCCAGTCTTCCAGTCCGAATCGTAGCCGTCAGCGATCTCGTTCGCAGGGAGACATTCCCCCGTTGAGTTCGCCAGCCGACCTCGCCTCGCTCCGGTCGTACAGTGAGAGTAACTTCCATGCGACGGACGTCCAAGAGAAAGACAGAGACGATGCGATCGAATCGATAGAGGATGTCGACCACTCCGAATATACCTTGACGGAGAAAACGCCCCTGATTCGAGGAATCCAGAAAGACGGTCTCGCGGCAAGAAGTACATTGGGACTGGTCGCCCAGCGGTTCTTCGAAGCCATCACCGAAACGATCAAGTTCATCTTATCGACCCTCGCAGCACCTGGTATCTACGTGGCTCAGTGCTTTCGGGACGATGACGGGTCCTATTCTCCGATGACCCCAGTACGGAGGCTTCGGCGATCCCTGTTTGGCCCGTCCTCAACAGATCCTCCCAGCGCGCTGCGCAGAGGCGCTAAATCGGCCGACGGAAAACAGCGGACTGGTTCCGCACGCAGACTGAAAGCCCACGCCTCACGAGAATCCATCGCCTCTAGTACTTCCGAGTCCGAAGGGGACCGTCGAGCTGTCAAAGGTCTCACGACGAGTAAATCTCGGCCGTCAAAAGCCAGATCTCCGAGCCCCGACCAGGCTTCCGACGACAATACGCCCCGCCGTTCCATCCGCATCAAGCTCAACAATGAAGAAGCCCTCAAGCGGCAAAGACAGCGTCGATCTCAGAGTGCCGACCTCGACCAGGCTGCTCGTTCTGGACTTCAGGGCTCGTTGAATCCGGACAGTCTCAAGTCCCCAACGTCACCGTCCGTCCACCGTGTCACCCGGTATCCGCACTCTCCTGTGCCGCCACGCCCGTTGATCCCTCCGCGTCTCCCGTCGTATACGGCCTCTTCGCGAAGTTCCCGGTTGCCTCAAAAGACGCTCGTCCTGGACCTGGATGAGACCCTCATCCACTCGCTGGCCAAGGGTGGCCGTATGTCTAGTGGCCACATGGTCGAAGTCAAGCTTGCCACGCCGATGACCACTGCTCTGACTCCCGGCGGACCGGCCACGACGTTAGGACCGCAGCATCCCATTCTGTACTACGTCCACAAACGACCGCACTGCGACGAGTTCCTGCGCAAGATCTGCAAGTGGTACAAGCTGGTTATTTTCACGGCCAGCGTCCAGGAGTACGCCGACCCGGTCATCGACTGGCTGGAGCAGGAGCGCAAGTACTTCCAAGCGCGGTACTACCGTCAGCACTGCACGTTTCGCAACGGCGCCTACATCAAGGACCTCAGCTCCGTGGAGCCGGATCTGAGCAAGGTGATGATCTTGGATAACAGCCCTATGAGTTATATTTTTCACGAAGGTATGCACCGTCACCATGGACATTAAACACCCAAGACTAAACTCTTCTTCCAGACAACGCCATCCCCATCGAAGGCTGGATCAACGACCCAACCGACAACGGTCTTCTCCATCTCATTCCGATGCTGGAAGCTCTGCAGTACGTGACGGATGTTCGGGCGCTGCTCGCATTACGGCGCGGTGAAGTGGAGGCCTAGCATGGAGGGTGATGAGGACGGCCTAGTTTCGGAAACGAAGTATACATGAGAAGCAGTATAATTCCTCGCATTACCTCCTGCCACTGTAAAGAAGCTGGTTTAAGCATGCTGAATGTTGAGCATTGCCTACTTCATACCCCATTGTTTGTGACTTTGTTGATAGTGTTTGTAATTAATATTTCTATTCTTGTGGTGCGAGTAGTACCTTGGAGTACGGGTGTAGCTCTGTATCCATGTAACACTTGTATACTGAGTATGAGGACTGTATAGATATTGCTGGGGGTAGCATGGGCGATATATATAAAGCATAGGCAGTATACTCAACCGCCAATATAGCCAACACCCATACCAAACCCATACAATACATATAACCCCAGGATTATCAGAGACAGGGTGTCTGACAGACCATGTGTCACAGAAACTAATTGCCGCATTGGGTAAACAGCGCACACCCGTGGACTCCGCAGACAACCTGCAGTGCTACACATGGATTCTTGTACCTGACGGGCTCCGCCTTGCATAAGCTTTGCGTGGCTGACGATCGCTCGCCTGACAGGCTGGGAATATTCTCCGCTTCTGGTCTACCTACGTGTACATGGTACAAGCCCCCCAATTACCACACCTGACATTGAGGTATTTTTGAACATATTTGATTCTCTACTCTCGAACAGTACATTTACAGTCCCTTGGCCTGCTTGGCTTCCGTAATGGCCTCCTTCAGAGCGGCAATGGCATGGTCGATGTCCTTGCGGCCGGCCCCGGTGACGCTGACACCCATGTGACCAAAGCGGATGTACTTGGTGGCCACCTCCTTGTGCAGACCGGCTGCAAAGATCACACCGCGCTTCAGCAGGCCGGGGAGGACATCCGGGGGCGCAAGGCCGTCAGGCAGCCAGATGGCGGTCATGGCGTGGGCCTGGTTCTCCGGGTTGGCGGCGAGCTGCTTGAGGCCGAGATCGGCAACGGCGGCCTTGACCTTGTCGGAGGCCTGGCGGTGGACGGCGAAGCGGTCGGCCATGGGCTTGGCGGTGATCTGAGACAGGGTGGTGTGCAGGGCGTGGACGAGCTGGGTGGGGGGCGTGGCGAAGTAGGAGGGCTTGAGGTTCTCGTAGTTCTGCATGATGGGGAGCCAGTTGCCAAGGGAGGCGTAGTAGGAGGCGGGCGGGGTCTTGCGGGACTTGAAGGTGTCGAGGGCGCGGCCGGAGGCCATGAGGATGCTGAGGCCGGGTGGGCAACCAATGGCCTTCTGGCTGGCGGTCAAAACGACATCCAGATCCCAGGCGTCGAAAGCGATCTCCTCGCAGCCAACACTGCACACGCCGTCCACGACCACCAGGGTCTGGGGGCTGACGCGGCGGACGATCTCAGCGACGCGCTTGATGTCGCTGAGGACACCGGTGGAGGTGTCGACGTGGGTGATGGTGATGATCTTGTAGGGCTTCTCCTTCAGGGCCTGCTCGATCTGCTCGAACGAGGGGCGCTCGCCGATGGGGGCCTTGAGCTGGGTCGCGTTGGCGCCGTAGGTCTCCAGACAGGCGGCGAAGGAGTCGGCAAAGTAGCCGGTGTGCAGGACGAGGGCGTTCTCGCCCTTCTCAACCAAGCTGGAGGCGACGATATCCCAACCCAGGGTGCCGCTACCGGAGATGACGAAGGGCTGTGCCGTGGGGGCGGTGGACTGGAAGAGCTTGCGCACGAGAGTCAGGGTCTCGCCGAAGGTCTTGACGAAGCCGGGAGCGACGTGGCTCTCACTGTGGTAGACGGGGGTCAGTCAATGGCTGTTCAATGGATGGACGCATTGAGGGGGGGGACTCACGCATAATGGGCCATGGACTGGAGGACGGCATCATCGAATTCGATGGGCCCGGGGATGAGGAGGGTGGGGTGAGGGACTTGGGTGGACATGATGGTGTCTGAAGAGGAAGAAGAGGTGGGAGAGGGAGTAGTGGTAGGAGGAACAGAGGGGGGAGTTGAGCGGTCGAGGGGGTTATATTCGATGTCGTCGGGAGCGAGCGAGTTCCTCTCGGTCGAGAAGGGCGTGTTAAGCTCAGGCAGCGGGAGTCGCTGATCCAGATGTCTGGAAATCAGGCTGAGCCGCTGCGTCGTCTGTTTGGTCGCCAGCTTTTCCGACAACTTCGGCTCTCAACGGGAGCCCGCGGGGTAACCAGGTGGGAAATGGGTGACGATGGAGGGGGAATCACAAGGAGAATTCGGGGATCGCCGGGCGAGATCGGAGGAGCGGCGGTGTTTATTGGAGACGATCGGTCTATGTATAGGAATTGATGGAGTATGTATAGAAGCGGATGGAGTGGAAGTGTTGATAGGAATTGTCCTTTTATACGCGGAACAGAAGAAGAAGAGAAGATTTCTCCTTTTGTCTAGATTCTTTTTCTCTTCTCTCTGTCGGGGAAATTCCCAGCGGGCGGAGCCTTCCGTCGGCAGGAATCGTCCGTGTACATAGGAAGTCTTGTTGAGTTGTTGAGATGAGTCAATGGATGCTTACGGGTTTTGATCGAGTAATAGTGATTGACTGGGTTTGACAATCTATCCGGAGTGGATTGAGCATCCCCTATCTATGTTCAAACTGTATGTGGACGGAGTATGCATGTAGAGAAGATTGTTTTGTATGGGAAAAAAAAAATTGAGAATATGCTCACACTCGGACTTGAACCGAGGACCTCGTGATTACTAGTCACGCGCTCTACCAACTGAGCTATGCGAGCTGATTGGGTATAGTTCTGTCATTTTGTGCTACATAGTCCAGACACATACCTCCGTACTACTCAGGCGGTGAGTACGTACTAAGCTTCCCCGCGAGCATCAACTGCATGCTCCAGACGTGCCTTTCAGATAAGCATCTACCAGTCGATCCACCCACACCCAAACGTCCTTCTCCTCCCACCTAGCTCTCTATACTCCCTCGACTACTCCCCTGACCTGCATGGGCCCGAATTGCCCATCCCTCCTTCAGAATGACTTCCCGTTTGGTCCTGGTCATCGGCGACCTCTTCATCCCGGACCGCGCTCCTGTGAGGAAGCCTGCATTCCCTCCCACTGCTGAAGCTGTCGCTAACCCATGCGCGCGTCTAGGATCTCCCTGCAAAGGTACACTCCTGACTTTCCGATAGCCCCTCATTCCTTATCCTCCCATCCGACCATGATTGACCCGTCTTAGTTCCGCAAGCTCTTAACACCCGGCAAGATCGGCCAAATCCTGTGTCTCGGCAACTTGACCGACCGGAATACCTTCGAATTCCTTCGTCAGGTCGCCCCCGATCTCCAATTGGTCAAGGGTGACTTCGATGTCGATTCCCCGAACCTACCCCTCTCCAAAGTCGTGACCCACGGCAGTCTCCGCATCGGCTTTACTCATGGTCACACCATCATTCCGCCGGGCGATGCCGACGCCCTCCTGATCGCCGCCCGCCAGATGGATGTCGATGTCTTACTCTGGGGTGGTACTCATCGCTTCGAGGCCTTCGAAATGGAGGGGCGATTCTTCGTCAACCCCGGCAGTGCGACGGGCGCCATGAGCACGGGGTATTGGCCGGAGGGAGAAGAACCCACGCCCAGCTTCTGTTTGATGGATGTAAGTTGTCCTCCTCTTTTCTACCATCTGTCATCGACTGTATGCTTACTGCTCCGTGCAGATCCAAGGTGATGTGCTCGTGCTGTATGTCTACCAGCTCAAGTCCGACGACAACGGAGCCGAAACCGTGGCCGTCGAGAAAGTCTCCTTCCGCAAGAACAACGTTCCATCTTCATGAGTTGACGCTTTGATTCCCTGTATATATGCCATAGAACCTGATACGATGATGACGTCCAATCCTACGTACTAGCTAATCTGGAGCTGCCCTTACTCTTCTATTTGCTCAATCCACCCTGCCTTTGTCTAGTTGCTAGCTAGTTTAGCTAGTAGTCTTATATTGATGGAACCTCAGCTATGTCTTGTGATGTACAAACCCCACTAATGGGTCTCTTTTTATTAAATAGGCGCCAAGCACAGCAATCAATTCTTATCAATCTCGCTACAGATCGATCAGGTTGTACTCCGTAGGTACTTCCATGTGTTGTTGTCGGTCCAATGCCGATGTGGTTCGGATGACAAAGTCGCTAGGCCGGAAATGGCAACAGTGACTTCGGGGTCGATCCCACGCCAGCATCTCCGCCAGACCTGGGCCCTCTTCATTTCCAATCCCACTCGCATCGCTTTTCCCTTCACTCCTGCGATCTTCCCGATAGAGAGTGGTTTGGTCCCGTTCTCCCCCCGGACCCTTCGGATTTTTATTTTTCCCTGCAAGCTCGTGTCCTCCACTGCGTGCACGGACTGAGCGTGACGTCGACGCTTGGAGATTCTTCACGACCTTGCACCATCCACGGACGAGCGACATCCCATACCTCCAGAATCCTTCCAGCTTCATAATGTCGACCGAGGAGAAACAGATTCCCGAGGAGCGTCCGGAGAACCCTGAAGAAGGTGGTGACGATGAGGTAAGGTTGCTTGCGCGAACCTTGCGCTTGCTGCGTTCCGACATCAGCTCTTTCGTGTCAAACGCGATCATTCCCAGAAACAGTGTGAAGTAGTTTGCTAATTGAATTGTCTCGTATAGGAGGAAATCGCGGCGATGAAGCGACGGGTGGCGGAGATGGAATCCGAGGCCGCAAAGCTCCGTGAAATGCAAGCGACCCTCGACCAGCAATCTGAAAACCTCCGCGAAGATAAAGAAGAGATTGACGCCCGGAGTATCTTTGTCGGCAATGTGGATTACGGTGCCTCTCCTGAGGAAATCCAGGCGCACTTCCAAAGCTGCGGCTCGATAAACCGGGTTACGATCCTTTTGGATAAGTTTACGGGTCAGCCGAAGGGGTAAGATTGTTCGCTGGCCTCTGTTGGGCATATGTTTGCTGACTGGTCTACCATAGTATGCCTACGTCGAATTTGCAGAGCCCAGTCTGGTGGCCCAACTCTGGTGTTAAACGAAAGTGTGTTCCGTGGTCGCAATCTGAAGTGAGCTGCTGCAGATCTGTGTCTACTGTGATCCCCACTAACTGAATTAGGTCGTTCCCAAGCGCACCAACCTGCCGGGCATGAGCCGGGGCCGCGGACGCGGTGGTTTCCGTGGTCGTGGATACCGCGGTGGCTTTCCTCGTGGGGGGTACCGCGGTGGATATCGTGGCCGGGGACGAGGCTATGCACCCTACTAGCCGCTGGCAGAGACATCACCACCACCGAGTGCCTGGTACAACCGAGCAATGGACATGGGTTACCGTCCCGTGAGTCCCGACCCGGAGAAGCCGACTGCACGGCGATCAACCGGGACGACGGACCGGCTCTGAATTGATGAAAGAGCTTTCTTGGAGTTCGGGAGATTGAATTGTATTGTATGATAGCTATCTGGTCATCGTGGGTTGGCAGCATGGAGGGTTTATGGAGATGGTTTTGTTTGATATCATCTCGATTCTACACGGCTTAATTTTTCCTTTCGTCATGAACATCGAAACAGCTCTTTTTTCCAAGACCATGACTCTATTTTTGGGACTGTCTTTCTGTCTTTTGCTTACGGTTATCCCTACCTTCGAACGCTCTAGATCGCAACAAAGCGCCAGGATTTGATAGACTGGGCCTACTATCATCCGGGCGGAGCCAGAAACAAACGGGAATCTCCCGGACTGGACTGCCCCACTGCTTCGCAAGAAGAAACGAAAGGAGAAAACTCGTCATCCGATTGGGGAGTGGCGAGAGTAACTACGTAGTGCCCAATCGAACTGGAAGCGATATGCAATGGGCTGACTGGGGGGTATAAGGGAAGCCGACGGAAGCTATGGATAGAAAAGCATAATCTCTGCTGCCTGGAGGCGCCCCGACTAGTTAGATGACGGGTACTTGGCTGGGGATTGTGGCTTAGGGTGCCTTCTTTAGTGGTAGACGTTATAGTCGTAAGGACGATTACCGGTTGCCCAAGTCTTGTACCTAAATCAGTACCTCAGCTACCTCCCGTAGTACTTGGGGAATTCGGATGGATGAAATAAGAAATAAGTCAATGATCTGGACCAAGATTGGATACGTCAGGCGTACTGTATGGTACAACAGTCGGACTCATACTTACCTATCTGGAGGTAGATCGATCGGTCGTCTGAGAAGATCACCGCCGGCGATAAAAAGACCGTCCTTCGTAGAAAAGCCCTGATCACTCTCGTGTGCTCGCCAACACGAAGCCAAGTACCTCTCCATAGAGAATTGGCAGAGAAGTACTTCCGACAAGGCCAGGAAAATCGGGCCTAGCGAGGGCGGTGATTGGTGGTGCTGCGCCCCATTACCGTCATCTTACCCGTTTGGGGCAGGTGAACCTTACCTCGACTTCTTCGACTTTCGTTGTCGTTTCTCTCCATCCTCCAGACTCTCTCCCCCCCTCATCCATCCTCTCATCGTCGATTCATCTCGGGGAAAGAAAAGCTCAAGGTCTGTCGCGGTACTCTGGCCTTCGACATCCTCCCGTCCGGCCGTGTGCTCGACTCTCTGAGTTCTCTCCCTCTCTCTCCTCTCTCGCCATCCCGCCTCTTCGCTGCCGAAACGCCCCTCCCACCGCTCTCCCTTGCTCTCCCCCTCATTCGATCCGCCTCCACCGCGTCCGCAACTACTGTCCGGTGTCCGCTCTCTGGACCGCGGTGGATGTGCTCGCCGCGAATTTCTTCTTAGCCTTGTCCTGATCGGCCTTGCGCTTCCTATCGCCGTGTCGGTCGCCTATCATCTCGACCGGACAACATGGGTTCCAATCTCCCCGCGTAAGTCTTTCTCGATCTCTCGTGGAGATCTAGTTTCATGACCTGTGAGCTTCTCGACTAACAAGGAATCCATGTGCAGGCAACCCAACCTGAGGGTCACGAGTAAGCCCGTCCCGATGTCCAGAAGCATCTGAATGCGAGGGGGTGGAATTCTCGGGGACTTTCGTGCAGATAAGCTAACATGGACCGTCTTGTGCAGTTATCGCGGCCGACGGTCTCTACAAACGCGATGTCTTTCGTATGTCTCCCATTTGTGCTCCCTCTTCCACGTTTCGCGTTCAGCGGGACTGACCCCTCCCGTGTAGGATTTCCCGACCCGTTCGCGGTGGCCACCGTCGGTGGTGAGCAAACTCACACCACCTCCGTCATCAAGAAGACATTGAACCCCTATTGGAATGAGATGTTCGACCTGTGAGTGTCCTGTCGGCCATCAGGTGGGAACGCCGCTGACATGACGACCTCGACTTCAGGCGGGTGAATGAAGACAGCATCCTTGCCATTCAGATCTTCGACCAGAAGAAATTCAAGAAGAAGGATCAAGGTTTCCTCGGTGTCATTAATGTGCGCATCGGCGATGTAATTGATCTACAGATGGGCGGTGATGGTGAGTCAGAGGCTATTAATATTCTTTGACATGGGACCAAGCTGACCGACGACAGAAATGCTCACACGCGACTTGAAGAAATCCAACGATAATTTGGTTGTGCACGGAAAACTCATCATCAATCTGTCCACCAATCTGAGCACCCCCAATACTAACCAAGCAAATGGTCTGCATCGTTCGAATCTTCAGTCGTCCACGTCGAGTGGGCTTGTGCCGCAGGTTACCGCCCCTCATGCATCCCCCGGCCCCAGCCAACTGGATCCAACCGCATCGAACCCCTCGCTCAACCCTCAGCGTGTCCCATCCACCACGAGGCCGTCCAGCACTGTCGCGCCGGTCAACGGAGCGGCGGCTCCTGGCGCATCCCGCACCAATCTCAGTTCATTCGAAGACAGCCAGGGTCGATTGCCTGCCGGTTGGGAACGACGAGAGGATAACTTGGGTCGGACGTACTATGTCGATCACAACACGCGCACCACCACCTGGACCCGGCCGTCGTCGAATTACAATGAGGCAACCCAACGGACCCAGCGGGAGGCAAACATGCAGCTGGAACGGCGAGCCCATCAGAGTCGGATGCTCCCCGAGGATCGCACCGGCGCCAGTTCACCGAATCTGCAGGAGAACCAACAGGCCCAGACCCCGCCGGCCGGTGGTAGTGCCAATGCGGTTTCCATGATGGCCACGGGAGCGACTACGGCAGGCACTGGAGAGCTTCCTCCTGGATGGGAGCAGCGCACCACCCCCGAGGGACGGCCATACTTTGTCGACCATAACACCCGCACCACGACATGGGTGGACCCTCGACGGCAACAGTACATCCGCATGTACGGGCAGAACGCCAACGGCAACAACACGACCATTCAACAGCAGCCGGTGTCGCAGTTGGGACCGTTGCCCAGCGGTTGGGAGATGCGGCTGACGAACACCGCGCGAGTGTACTTTGTCGACCACAACACCAAAACGACGACCTGGGACGATCCGCGTCTGCCGTCTTCGTTGGACCAGGGCGTACCGCAGTACAAGCGTGACTTCCGGCGGAAGTTGATATACTTCCGGTCTCAACCTGCATTGCGGATCATGTCGGGGCAGTGCCACGTCAAGGTGCGCCGCAACAACATCTTTGAAGACTCGTACGCCGAGATCATGCGACAAAGCGCGTCCGATTTAAAGAAGCGCCTGATGATCAAGTTCGACGGCGAGGATGGTCTGGATTATGGTGGTCTATCTCGGTAAGTTGCGTTGGCCGTTTGATGATGGTGTAGACTGACGTTCGCAGTGAATTCTTCTTCCTTCTTTCTCATGAAATGTTCAACCCCTTCTACTGTCTTTTTGAATATTCGGCACATGATAATTATACCCTGCAAATCAACCCTCATTCCGGTGTGAACCCGGAGCACTTGAACTATTTCAAGTTCATTGGGCGTGTTGTTGGGCTGGCCATTTTCCACCGCCGATTCTTGGATTCGTTCTTTATTGGCGCGTTCTACAAGATGATGCTGCGGAAGAAGGTGTCGCTTCAGGATATGGAGGGTGTGGACGAGGATCTGCACCGGAACTTGACGTGGACTCTGTATGTGACTGCTGTGGGATGGCTGTGGATTGGTGCTGACTGTGATAGGGACAACGATATCGAGGGCATCATCGAGTTGACCTTCGCTGTGGATGACGAGAAGTTTGGAGAGCGTCGCACGATTGATTTGAAGCCGGGTGGTCGGGATATCCCCGTGACCAATGAGAACAAGCACGAATACGTCGAGTAAGTGTCTGTCGGGAGATAGTCCGGACGCGGCTAACGAAGTAGGTTGGTTACCGAGTGGAAGATTGTCAAGCGGGTGGAGGAGCAGTTCAATGCCTTCATGTCTGGATTCAACGAGCTGATCCCGGCGGACCTGGTCAATGTGTTTGACGAGCGCGAACTGGAGCTGCTGATCGGTGGCATTGCGGACATTGACGTGGACGACTGGAAGAAGCACACGGACTACCGTGGCTACCAGGAGCAGGACGAAGTGATCCAGAACTTCTGGAAGATTGTCCGCACCTGGGATGCGGAACAGAAGTCTCGTCTGTTGCAGTTCACCACGGGTACGTCCCGGATTCCGGTCAACGGATTTAAGGATCTGCAGGGATCAGACGGACCGCGGCGGTTCACGATCGAGAAGTCGGGCGATCCGGCGGCGCTGCCCAAGTCGCACACATGGTATGTCTGGATTGCCGATTTTGTAGGAAGTCGACTGACGATTGCAGTTTCAACCGGCTGGACCTCCCGCCGTACAAGACGCACGAAACACTGGAGCACAAACTGTCCATTGCGGTCGAGGAGACCTTAGGGTTCGGACAGGAGTAAGGGCGAAAAGATTTTGGCATGACTATAGTAATTCTTCCGGCGAGGAACGGCAGCCCGTCCTGGCCATGATATCCCCTTTGCTAGTTGAGTTGCATGTGGAGGTTTGGAGCAGGATTATCTATACTATACGCGGGCAGGAATTGATAGTTTGAGTTTTGCGGTGATTGTATATACTGTATTATCCCATGGAGTTGTTGTGGTCAAAGCAGAGGATTCTGGAGTATGACAGGTCAATGTGACGTGTGTCTGCAAGAGTCCAATGTGGCTTCGGACTATTGTTGCGGACTTTGTGTAGGAATCGACGTAGTGAATAGGGGTTGCATTGCAGCTATAAAGGTCTGCTTCTTCTCTACATTCTGTCGTTTTCCTGTCTTTTGTACAACTATCTGCAGATTCAAGTACAATGCACTTCCACACTGCCGCCCTCGCCGCTGTCATCGGACTGGCTGCAGCCTCGCAGTCGGCTGCATCCGTCCCGACAGGCACCAGCTCTAGCTCTAGCTCGGCCAAATGTGCTGCGCAGAGGTAGCTCACCCCTACCTATATAGAAGCATACCCTCTAACGAGTATAGCATCCTGGACGCCTGTCTAAGCTCGCTGAAACCCCAACTCGACGACTGCCCCCCCAACAACTGGAAATGTCTCTGCGAGCAGAGCACCAACGTCCTGACGTATGCCTCCCTCCCTTCTTTAGCCCCCTTCACCCCTATCGTTAGATGTAGGGCAAGCTAACAGCAACAGGTGCTATAACAACTGCCCCGACCACGCCGACCGCTTCGGCGTCTCGCAGCAAACAGACTCCTACTGCCGTGCATACCGCGCCAACTCAGCGCTATACTCGTCGTCGTCGGCGACGCGGACCTCCGCCGCGTCGACGACCACGGCCACCGGGCCCGCGACCACGGCGGCCAGCGCGACGGCGAGCGCTACTGCTTCGGGGGGTGCGGGGCGATTGGAGGGGGTGGTGGGGGTTGGGTCGGTTATGGGGGTTGCCTTGGCTGTTTTGCTTTGATCTCTTCATCTTTCTGTGAGCTGGCTAGGGGGTGGGGGGTTGGTTGATATGTAGTGGTAGTAAGTAATATGAGTTTGTGTATCATCGAAAAGACTGGGTTCGCGCGCGCAGACACAGACGACTTTTCCAGCAGGCGGCGAGGACGGCGCCCAGCGCGCAGGCGCCGACGAGGGCGTGCTGGAGCGGTTCGTCGACCGCGCCGAGGGTGTCTGTTGATGTCTGTGGACTTTGTTAGCACCTGCATGTATGCATGTATGTGCGTATAGATGGTGCGTGACATACCCCGTGCGAAACGGTAAACACCTGCGACACACCATCCTCCATCTCCTCCCCGTCAAACCCCACCGCCACGACGCGGAGGTACCCGTCGACGCCGGCGACGTCGAGGGCCGTCTCGAACCCGCGCTTCGGCACGTACTGCACCGTGCGGAACCCGTCGTCTGCGCCGTGCGTCTGCAACGCCCACCCCGCGACATCGGTAGCGCCGTTCCAGCTAACGTAGACCATCCGCGCGGCGTCATCAACCGCAATGTCCGGCGGGAGCGTCGGCCGGCCTGTCCAGCGACTCGTCTTGAACACGCGGTAGGACTTGACCCAGCCGAACCAGAAGAACACGCGCGGGGCGTAGTGGGCGTGGCAGAGGACTTCGGCGCCGTCCGCGTCAAACTCGGTAAAGGCGGCGGCCTTGCCCCAGCCGACGAAGACGTTCTGCGACGCGGCCAGCCGCTGCAGGTTGCCCTGGGAGTGTGCGCTGAAGCGGCCGGGGGCGTCGTAGACGGCGGTGACGGCGGCGGTGCGCGCAGCCGGGTCCAGATCGAGGGCGATGCGGTAGCCGCGGGAGTGGTCGGAGGTGCGGAGGTGTTCGTGGGCGCCGTTGTCGAGGAGGGAGATCTCGGTGGGTGAGAGCCAGCGGGCATCGTGTTGCCAGGTGAAGGCGGTTGCGAGGTCGTCGACGGGGGCGAACATGTTGCGCTTGCCGCCGAGGATCCAGAGGATGTCGCCGGTGGGCGCGATGCAGGTGACCGTGTGCAGGTAGCGGGAGGAGACGAGGTAGTTGCCGGTGGTTGGGTGCTTGTCCACGCTGTTGATGTGGAAGTAGTCGTAGGGGGCGGCGGGGGTGCCGTGGTCCTCGTCGAGCGGGTAGAAGGACTCGTCGAGGGCGTGGTGGTCGCGCGCGCGCCACTCGAAGAGGAGGGCGCCGGTGTCGATGTCGATTTCCTGGAAGAGACCGTCGTAGATCCAGCCGTCCGCGGGGCCGCCGACGGGCGTCAGGTCGGCCGGGACGATGTCGTAGACGGTGAGGAGAGCGGTGCCGTGGTCGGTGATTTTGAACTCGTGCACGTCGCCGTCGTGGCCGTTGGCGGCGGAGACGACGTGTGCAACCTCGTAGGAGGAGTTGAGCTGGGCCGTTAGTTGTGGTCGGTTGAGATGCATGGTTAGGGTTGGTACCATATAGTATGAGCCAATTCCCCGGGTCCCGTCGTCGTCACCCGCCCAGAAGGTGAGATAGTCCTGGCCGCGGTAGTGCTGGACCTTCAAGTCCATGACCATGCCGAAGCGCGTCTCCATCCAGACGAGATTGCCGCGGGTGTCGTAGATGAGCGGACCTGGGTCCGGATAGAAACGGCCGCGCGGGCTGAGTAGAATGTAGCCGTCCTCGCAGCGGGGATCCCAGCGCAGGATGTCGACCTCGGGGGGTTCGAGATCGAACGAAGCATACTGGACGGTGGGGTGGGGACCGAAGAAGCCCAGCTCATAGAAGAGCGAGTGCCAGAAGGCGGAGGTTAGGGGGGCGAGGAGGAGGATGAGGAGGAGCAGCATCGCGATGAAGCAGACACAAAGCCATGGAGAGACAGCGAAGAGCCGTGGAGATATAGAGATATACGAGACATGCTGAGGGATCAACAGGGTCCAAACGGATTCTCCTGAGAAATCTGTACTCCATAGTAGAAGAACGTATGGGACGGTGGATAGAATGACGAATGCAGGGCCAATGGGCCGCGCAAAACCCTAAGATCCGTCCCAAACAGGCAATTAATGAATATCACCACTTCCATCGACTATCTTACTGTGTATGAGAGTAACTACGGCTCCTGCTACTCCCGCTTGCGCTTCTTCCCCCGCGTCTCCCTCTCCGCCGCCTTCTGCCACCCCCTCTCAGTCTTCTCCTTCTGCCTCACCTTCTTCTCCCGCTTCTTCGCCTCCACCTTCTTCTTCTTCTCCAGTCGTTTCGTCTCCTCCTCCTCGTCATCCCGCATGTACTCCGCCCTCCACACCAGCGCCACCTTCTCGACGTTCTCCCCGCACACCTCCTCCTGCGCACACCCCTCGCGCACCAGCCGCTCCTGCAGCTCGCGCACCTTGCCCCAGAACTCCCGGTACTCGCCCATGTTGTACTTGACGTTCAGCTCGCCGTTGCCTTTGAGCATGCCGCGCCGCGCCCCGGCCGCGCACACCACCCACAGGTACGTGTCGTCGCTGTAGAACGGGTGGTCGCCCGGTCCGACGGACAGCATCAGCGACGCCGTCGCCGGCCCGACCCCGCGCAGCGGCGTCGTCAGCGCCTCCATCGTCGCCGTCGGGAAGTCCATCCGCCGCGCCAGCTCGTCGACGCCCGTCATGGCGGCATAGGCCGTCGACGTTGCTTTGCGGATGGTCTTGTCGGGGTTGGAGCGCAGCATTCCTAAGAGCGTTGGGCGCCATTTGCCATGTTTCCTGCATCCATTGCATTAGTACCAAGGCACACGTAGAAGGAAATGTAGGTAAAAGGTAGAAAGTGGAGGTACATCTTCCACTCGACAAGCCGCTCGGCCTCGCTGCGATCGAGATACCTCTCTGCGCGACTGCCCACCACCCCCGGCAACCCCCGGTACCGCCAGTCGTCCAGCTCGAGGAACTCCCGCACTGCTGTCGTGATCTCCGTCTCGCTGGGTGGCTCTGCATTCTTCCTCTTGCGCGGCGTCGACGCCTTGCGACGCGTCACCGCCTCCACGGTGTCGGGATACCGCGCCAGGAGCTGACGGAAGGTCTCTGGCGTGATGGTCTGGGGTTCCGCGGGAGGTCTGTCAGGCGTAGCCATCTTCTGTTCCTTGTCTGCGGTCGCGGAGGTGGTGTTGAGGTGGGAGAAGTTTTCCACGTGGGAGTCACCAAGATCGGGTCAATGCCCGTACCAGATTTTCAATACATGTACTCCGGAATATACGAACACTGCAAGAACCTTGAATTGAATCTACGGCGATATTTTAGACTGATGCTTCAGGAACCCAATCACGTGATATTTATGCTCCAGACAGCAATCGACGCAGCTGAATGTAGGTAGGTAGATACGCTGTCCAATATTAACATAACAATACATCACCCAATGCTCCAACGTGGACAAATCCAATACATTACAAAACATCCATCAACCAAAATCAGCCACTCTATCAATCACGCCCCTTGCGTTTAGCGTCTTTGTCTTTCTTCGGCGCATCCTTCGCAAAACTAACCCGCTTCTCATCCTTGCCGCGGTTCAACGACACGATCGATGCCGACAACAGGCCATCCTTCTTCTTTGAACACTTCGATAGTGACGCCGACGGCGCCGCCTTCTCGGTCGGCCCAGACCCCGTCGTCTCCTCGCCGTCCGCTACGTCAATATGCCGGAAGTCTTCCTCCGCGTCGCCGATATCCGATGATCCGGGCCCCGGACTCTCCGAGTCCGACGCCGCGCCGTACTCATCGTCATCGTCATCGCTGACCAGACTGGGGGCTTGGTTGGACTCGACCGTGTTCGGGCTCAAATTCAGCGATCGGTCCATGCCGTCCGCGGGCGGAGGATCGTCTCGCGTCCGGGATGGGGCCGCTGGCGAGAGTCCATATGGGGACTCGTAGGGGGCGGTCCGCGACGGCGTCCGGGTCTCCAGCGACAGCGACGGGGGCACCTCGTTGGCGGTCCCTTTGCGACTGCCCGGACGCTGCGACGCCGTCTGAGACACGGTGGTCCGCATGGGCTGGCGGCCAACGCCAACACGCGTGCTGGGCGGGTCACCAGGCGGCATGACCGCGGTCGATGCCGGCGTGGGGTTGACGTCTGACTCACCCTCGTCATCCGAGTAGGCGCTCAGATCGACAGGGTTCTTCGCCTCGCCGACCAGGCGGTCCAGGTCGACCCCCATCCCGCGCCCTTGCATCAACGAGGAGAGATGCGGGGTGGCGGGGGAGGCTGTAAACGCATCGTTCGGGGCTTGCGCCCGGGGTGTTTCCACCGTCGACGCCGACCGACTGCCGCCTGGACGCCTGGGGGTCGCGCGACCGCTAGAGGGGTCGGCAGTGGACGACGCGGGAGTTCGAGACGAAGACGAGGATGAATCGATGACATGCGCGGAGCGAACCAGGGGATGGACGAAGCCCTGTGTGGTGGCGGTGGGCGTCGTCTCGTTCTTGCTCCCGCCAACGACCGCTCCGGCCTCGTCGACTTCGACGGGTTCTCCCGAGGCGACGGCGGCGGCATCGTGGCTGGCAAAGTTCCGGTTGTGGGCGATGCGGCAGTGATTGATGAAGCCCTGGGTGCTGGAGAAGTTGTCGCGACGACAGTCGAGACAGACCAGCTTGACAAGCACGCCATCCGACTTTCGTCGGATGATCATGGGTCCAGCCTTCTCCTTGGGGGCGGGATACCCCGTGGGTAGCGACTGAAGTCGAGCGCCAACAGAGCCTCTTTGCGGGCGCGATTTGCCAGCGAGGAAACCGGCGTCACTGCTGGAGGTGCCTCGCGTCGAACGACCTTCGGCCAGGGGCGTACCGGCGCCCATGGCCAGCGGGGCGGCAGGCTCAGTGTCGCCGCCATCAAATCGCGGATCGGGGAGTAACCATCGAGAGTAGTGACGGGTGTAGGGACCGTCGACGACGCCCCAAGGGGCGGGAGACAGCGGTGCAGGTCCATTTCCAGGAGCCCACACCGCGACACCGGAGCCGCTGCTGACGGCGGATGAGAGATGGGAAGCGCCAGGATAGGGGATTTCGGCACAGCGACGAAGTTGTTCGAGAGCAACCTGACATTTGGCAATTTCCTGATCGATCAGACGTAGTTCGTTGTGTTTCAACAAGACCTCTAAGCTGAGTTGGGCCTCGAGGGTTTCGCGCAGTTGGTCGATGGGGATGGGGCGCGTCGCGGGAGTCTCGCCCGGTCGCAGGTCGGTCGGGGCGGGATCTGCGACCGTGGCGGCGGCGGCAGCATCATCATCTGGGCGCGGTTTGGTCGCGACCGGGGCATCCTGACCAGGAACAGGATCGGTCGAGTTGGACCGCTTACGCTTCAGCTGGGGTAAGGGGAGAGAGTTGACGGGGGAGGAGGCGAGCATTTTGAGCTCCTCCGCCATCACCTTGTTGCCCCCAATTGCTGAGGACCAAGGCAACAGTCGAAACATGCCATGCGAGGAGGGAACGAGAGGGGCGGTGGGTAGGTGCACGTGAAAGGAGGAAGGTATTATTAGAAAATATAGAAAATAAAGAGAAAAGAGGAAGAGAGGGACGAAGAAGGTAAAAAAAGGGGGAAGAGGAGAAGAGGTGTTGAGTTGAGGATGTTGTGATGTGATTGATGTGTTGGGGGGAGGAGGGAGGGAGCGAGGGAGAGGGAGAGGGAGAACACGAAAGGGAGGGAAGGGGAGGAGAGGGAGGGAGGTAGAGAGGGCGATAGCAGGGAAGACGGTCTAGATCGGAAGTCTGGTAGACACCCAGGATACTGTAGGAAGAGCAAAGAAAAGAACAAGAAAGAAAGGGGAGGGTGGCGTAATCTGGTCGATTAGTCACTCCCCAATATCTGATCTGTTCTGTTTCCGTCGGACACGTCAAGTCGGTGGTGGGTCGACCTGACAATCCGATTCTTCGTTCAGGAGGAGGCGACCGAAAGGGAGAATTGTTGATTCTGGTGGACGGTGATGAAGGGTACAGGACTATAGCACTCCGTCATGAAGAGTTACATCATGTTCATCTCATCCCCAGGATCGCCGTCTCCATCCACTCCACTTTGTATGATTCTAGTGGCAACTCCTGAACCGGTTAGTTCTACTACTATTCTTACTCTTATCGCTAGTCGTACTAGTCAACTAGGGCCGAGACAGTTACGTAATATACCACCCATGCATATCTTACTCAGCATTCATGGATTCATGTACATAACTCAATGCACGCTAACAGCAAACAACTTCTCCATCTCATATCATATCATACCTAAAGTACCACCCTCCTCCGTACTATAGTAACCTCCTTCACTCCTTCATTCGTAGGATAAAGTTCACCACCACCGCCGCCAGCAGCGACACCGCCAGCACCGTCGGTCCAAACCGGTCGTCAATCCCCGTCTGGCCGCGCTTGCGGATACTCTGCGCCCGCCAGTGAAACGTCACCAGCGCATAAATCATCGCCGCCATCGCGATGATTGTGAACAGTCCCGCCGAGATGCGACCGACCCGGTCGCCAAAGTTGAGCAGTCCGACTGCTAATCCGCCCAGGATCACTGTGAAATTGAGCCATGAGAGAAAGGTGCGCTCGTTGGCGAAGAAGACCTTGGGTTCGACCCGCGTGGGGAGGGCAATCCGCTTGCCTGGTTGGATTAGCTGGGTGAACGTGGAGGTGATCGGTGGGAGCGACATACCTGGGGCGGTTTGGAGGAGCGGTTGACTGGACATGTTATATGGGGTGTGAGGAGGAAGATCGGGGGTGACTGGGGAGGAAGAAAATTGCGTGAAGTTGGAGATAAGTTACGGTAGGTAATCTAGGTTGACTGCAGCTAGTTAAGCTAAGCTAGTGATGTAAACGGCGTGCTCGCATTGCGCCTTCTGATTGGAAGAGTCCCGTGACATTGGCCCGCTTACTCATCTCTTATCTCCACGCAGAGTAGTTATCGTTATCTATCAGAGTGCAAGCCACCTCAAGCCCTTGTATACAACTTTTCCTTGCATTATAAAATAGACAGACGCTATCCTCCATACAGCATAGTCTTTGTTACTCTTGTTGTTCTTGCATGAGCTTGATCGACTCCCTGCATGATTTGGCCTCCGAGGTATGCCGGTTCGATCATCTCAACCGCCGGCCTAGGCGCTAGCTGCCCGGCGTGGCCGTCGGCGAAACGAGGGATCCGCCGAGTTCAAATTCCTACATATCTACGCAGAACATTGAGCACCTGCATTCAGTTCAGCACGCCTAGAATTTTACGACAAACTCATATTCTCGTCACAATGGCTTTAACCCAATGCTTGAAACATATGCGAGCATTGCACACTTCAATACCATCCCAGCGCCATGTTGTTCCCCTGGCATACGAACTTCATGGCCGAGGGAAACCCAACTCAAGCCATCATGACCCGATTCTCTTTCTCCATGGCTTCCTAGGCTCGAAACGCGAGAATAGACGGGTGAGCCGGTATATTTCAGCAAACGTGACCGGCCCTTCCTCTAACTGGTGGTGCTAACGACCTCTCAAGTCTGCTGGCTCACGATCTCTCGCGACCGGTATTTGCATTAGTATGTGAAGATACATCACTGCATGCTTGATCGCACGCAACTAACAACTATAGGATCTTCGCAACCACGGTGACTCAGCCCATCATCCCATACATAACTATATGGCAATGGCGCTGGACGTCGAGTCCTTTATCAAGACACACCGATTGAAGCGTGTAACGCTGATAGGCCACTCCATGTAAGTTCTATTTGATCAGATTATTTTCGGGCCCCTTCTCACCTATGGCAAGGGGAGCGAAGACGGCATTGGCTTTAGCTCTGCACTCGCCAGACATTATATCCAACGTCGTCGCCATCGACAACGGTCCGATACGACTACCGATTCCTAAAGATTTCCAGAGATATCTCGTCGCCCTCGAAAAGGTAGCGCGATCGCAGATCAGATCCCATGCTGAGGGTGACCGAATTCTAGCTGATTATGAAGCGGCAAGTCCTCACTTGTCGCCCAACCTTACTTGCGTTAACATCCTCCAGTCTTCTGCTATCCGTCTATGGCTTCTGAGCAACTTCATCAAAGATCGTCGCTCACCGTACCTCAAGCTCCGTCTGCCCCTTGATATTCTCAACACTGCCCTGGGGCCTCTGGGTGACTTTCCGTACATGGATGAACCCGTGAAGTTCCACAGACCGACGCTATTCCTTCGTGCACACCAGAGCTACTATATTCCTGACCACGCCTTGCCTTGTGTCCGGAATTTCTTCCCCCAGGCGCGGGTTGTGGACATGGACTGTGGGCATTGGGTTGTCCAGGATCAGCCGGAAGAGTTTCGACAGGGTAAGTTAATGCCTCTGCATACAATCGTATCGCAGCGGTCTGCCTACTGACCAAACCCTCTAGTGGTGGTGCAGTTTTTGCGTAGTGGGCTATAACCGGAGTGAATGGCAATCAGGCCCAGTGGTAGCCTCGGACGGTTCCTTTGGGACGACTCTTAGAGGCGTTTGATCCCTGCAATCTTGTTTCTCGGAGAAACAAGAT